TTTCAGGTATTTTTCATGATCACGGGAAGGCGAAGGCGTGATCGTGCACCTCCTATATTTTTCATGATTTGATTCTGGAGATACTCTGATGGTTAACTATTTTGGAAACAAATTGTAATAACTTAATGGTTTTAAATGTTTTAAAAAGTTTTAAATTGACTTGAATTTTATGGGTGTTACATGTGTGAACATATTTAACAAGTTAAATGATCAAATGTGTACAAAAAAAAATTACCTAAATGTGAACAAAACGAAAAGTTAATTACCATGATACGTCATTTTCCTCACTTTTAATAGCGATTTTATTTTTCATATTTGTTAGTATTATTTTTTTCAAACGTTATTTTTAAAGTATCAATAATGTCATAAATAATAATTAAATATTGATCACTTCTAAACTTTACTTTTTAATTAATAATATGTTTTTATTTTGTGAAATATTTTATATAGCCTCTTATTTATATATATATATATATATATATATATATATATATATATATATATATATATATATTTCTTTTTTTAAGCATATACAATATTTTTAAAGTAAATAGTATCTAACAATAAGATTAATAAATTAAATATCTAACAATAAGTATGAAGGTTATTTTAAAAAAATTAAAAACATATTACATAGCAAATAAAAAAACAAAAAATGTGTATACTGTAAATGTTTTAAAATTATTACAACTTTTTAATACTTTTTAATTAGAAGTTTATAAACTTTTATTTTTCTAATACAATGTTTTAAACTAGTATTTAACGAAAGTATTTTAAAATGTTATAAAAAAGTATTAAATTGTCATACAAAATTTGTGAAACACTTTAAAAATGTTGTAAAAGAAAGTTTAGAAATAATTGTATGAAAGTTATAAAAAAATTATATGAAAATGTAAAAGTTAAAAACTTGTAAGAAAAATTTAAAACATTTATAAAATATTTTGTTTAAAAACACTTCTATTAAATATATAAGAAAGTAAAAAAAAATTATAAGCAAAGTTTTAAAACATTGTATTAAAAAATCTATAAAAAACAAATATCATAAAAATGCTGTAAGAAATTATAAAAAATCTTAAGAAATTTATTAAAAATAATGTTTACGTTTAGACAACTTATTTTTTTGTACTCATTTGATTATTTGATTTGTTAAATGTGTTCACATATTACCATTGTCACCTAACAGGTGAAATTGATAATATGTAAACAAATTTAACAAATTAAATAGTCAAATATATAAAAAAAATTATCTAAATATGAACTATACGAAAAGATAATTATCATGTCAAGTCATTTTTCTCAACTACCATCTTGTTAAAAAGTTATTACTTTATTTTAGTGATATAAGAGAAAGTGAGAAATTGACTTATGATGGAGATGTAAACCCAAAATTAGGGGTAAATTCTTCAAAAACATTTGACAAATCTACCCCTTTGTTCATAAAAAAAAGACTAGGCAAATGAGAAGACGTAAATAAATTTTTGACATATATATATATATATATATATATATATATATATATATAAATGATCCTAGATCACAATTTCAGTCTATGTTAATTCTTTTTGACAAATATAATCGCATGGTTTTGAAGTTGTTGTTTGTTATTTGTCTGTAAATCTTATTATCCTCTTTTGTCTGCGTCGTGTAGATAGGCTTCACAGACCGTTTGTTTTTTTGAAGACTGAAGACAAAAAAGGTTTGTGCAGATGTGGATCAAAGTCTTCAAACATCTTTAAAAATATTGTAGCCTAAAAAAACACATATATCTTTTTTTTCCTTAAAAAAAACTTAGATTTAGGGCGTGTTCGGAAAAATTAGCTGGTACGGGTAGCTTGTAGCATTTTGTTAAACGCAACATGAATTTTGAGCGTTTTGTTTAAACTAAACGCTAGAAGCTTGTAATGTCAAACAAAGTTTTTTGTTCAAAACGGAGCGTTTTGTCAAACACAATAAACTAGAAACTCTCAAACGCTCCGTGCCGAATACACTCTTATTCCAACATAAACAATTTTTAATAAAAAAATTACAATACTTTAAGAAAAAAGGTTCGACGACATATTCATGACCTATGTGACAAATTTATAAATAAAGATTTAATTACAATAATGGTCATTAGAGTTGTTTATATAGATATGAAAAAAAATCATAATATTGTCTTATATTTTTTGTGCCAAATTTTATAAAACTTTATTTAATGCAATATTATTCATTTATTGGGAAAAAAATATTTATACCTAATTTTTATTTTATTTAATTGAAATATAAAATGAAAATTTTGAAATTTTTTATTTAAAATCAAAGTTTATTTTCATCCATTTTATATGTTAAAGTCTTTTATCCCTAATTACAATGTTTAGATATATAACTTTGCGGCCAAAGTTTGTTTCTTTTTATAAAATGCGATTTTATTTTCATATTTATATATAATAATACATAAAAGTTGATCTATATTTATTAATTATCTATAATAAAGTTATAAAATTATTGAAAAACTCTTTTAAGTTTTTTTTAAATCACTTTAGTTTATTATAGCAATCTACAAATGTTAAAAAACAAACAATATTCTTCTTTTAAATTGCAGATGTTTGGTCCCCTCTCTTTTACTATAGAGATTTGAAGATATAATATGTAGACTACAAATATTTTGCCTAAAAAAACAATACCTAAAATTTATGTATCTGGTCCTAACCTAGGTAAAAAGACTATTATACCTTCTTTATTTTATTTTGTATTCTTCTTCATTAATTTTTACTTTAGAAAAAAGAAAAAAAAAACATTCCACCCCATCCCCATTCTTTTTCTTACCGTTCTTTTTCTTCTCCACCACACGCACAATCATTTACATGTTACCATCTATCCGGCTTTTCTATGTAAATCACCGTTCCTACTTCATTATTTTTTATTCCAAACAACAACTGACGTCGTTTCTAGTTTGCACACGGTTTTTTGGTGTTTCGATGAGAGTCCTTCCTTAATTCATGATAATTTCATTTGATCTGGTTTGATTCAAATTCACATATAGTACACAGTACACACAGTTTTTTGTTGATTGATTTCCGTTTGTGTGATTTTGGAAAATAGGACATGCAACTGGTCTGTTCCTCTTAGTGGCTCTAACGTAAGCATTTGAATAGTTTTCAGCGAAAACGATGAACAATTTCTTCTATTTATAAACACAAATTTGTGAAAACACAAACAATTTCCTCCGTATTTTGTCGATGCACTTTATAAACACATCTATCTACGTAGAAATTGAATGATTGTTGATGTACCTATAGGATTACGTTTTAAAGGATACTGAAGAACAAATCAAACGAACAAATATCATGGATTCCATATCCTATGACCTTTCTCAACTGGATACCCTCTGCATGATAATTTCTGGGGGTGGAATTGGTACCGTACCGAGTATTTTTTTTCCAAACCGTGTACCGTACCAATTATAATTGGTATGTAATTTTAGTTACCACTACCGTATCAAGTACAGTTGGTACCAACTTAATTGGCTACCAGCAAGTTCGGTTGGTACATGTTGGTAATGATATATACCAACATGTATGGGTGTTTTTGGAATTAAGATTTATGTGTTATTATGCACTTAAAAGATAAATGTAGGTTTTGTAAATAAGAGTTTTCTAAATGGTTGGATTGGAAATTCGATACAAAAAAGATTTTATAAATTTGTACCATGAGTTTAAACTAAACAATAGAGTTAATGAGATATGTTAATATGAGTTTAAACTTTAAAAGCTACTAGACGATAAATGCTAATATTAAAGTACTTGAACTCTTAACCGTCAAATACATTTAAAGTTAAAATATACAATACTTTATATATATGAAAAATAACTTGGTTGGTACGGTAATACCGTGACATTTAAAACCTTGTACCATTACCGTACCATTATTAATTAATTGGTACGGTACTACCAGCCAAACATGTTGGCTACCAAACATATTGGCTACCAACATAATTGATTCGGTTGGTAAACATGTTGGTTGGTTTTCGATGGTACATATTGCCACCCCTAATAATTTCTCATTTGTAGGTGTCTTTCGATTCAAAAAGGGTTTTGAGATTTGTGTTTTCCTTGAAAGATTTTGAAAAGAGATGTGGGGATGGGTTTAATTATTTTTTATTATTCATAATTACATTTAGTTTAAAAATAATAAAATAAACGCAAAATGGTCAGCTCAAAATCCATTCGTGTAAATTTTAAAAACCAGAGGGACCATTCATACAAGTTTAAAACCCACAAGGACTATTTGTATTAAAAAAAATTAGTGAGACATTAAAGTTGTGATTTTATTAAATGACACGTACCTTTTTTTGATATAAAGACATAAAGTTTATCATAATATGTTCTCTCATTTAACAAACCGATCACTCTACATTATAAAACGACCACCATATTTATAACTGATTATTATTGAATTACAAAATGACTTTTTGTAAATGATATCCATCATAAAAACCTTAAAGAAACCAAGGTTTGTTGCTTTCTCGTGAATAAACTAATAAATCTACGATCATGTTGTATTAAAATGGATAGAATATCAAAATTGAATTAGTCAATAGTCAACCAATAGTTTGAACTGGACTAGGTCAATAGTCAACACGTAATTTCAAAGTCAATATGTTTACACCAACAACAACAACCCAACAATCACAAAACATTTCAATTTTGTTACCAATTGCAAAACTCAAAGTGTTGATACAATGAAAAAACGACAAAATCATCAAACGATATTTCCTCATTTCAGTCTCAAAATTTGCAGATTGCATTTGAAGCTACATATTACTCCGTGTTACGTAAAAAAATTGCTCATAGAATCACAGGTAAATCTAAAATCAGATCATAACAAAAGAATATATTCATGGTGGGTCTAAGAGTATAGTAGAGGCATAATAAGAAAGTAAGGAGCAATTACTAGTTGGTTGATTGTGTAGGCAAAATTTTGGATCATCAAACATCCGTTGATCCGTAGATCCTTCATTTTCAATCTTCAAATCCGATTTTCTTCCATACTGCGTTACGAACCCTACTCAGATCCCTCCCTTTCAAAGTCCTACCAACTCCTTCATGTACAGAAAGCGACGCGATTCTTCCCCTCGCCAAATACTCATGCGGCGGAATCCGGTCCTCGTCGCCGTACAGATCATCATCAAAATCATCTTCGTCGCCGACTGTCCTACGGTTTTCCCTGAGTTCATCCTTCAGGATCATTGACCAATCAGGAACATCAACCGGCAGCGACAACGCCGCTCCTCTAACCTCAACTCCTCGCTTCTCCGTCGCCGGTACCGACTTCTTCGAGATTCGAGAACCTGTTACCGACTTATGAAAGTCCGGCGACGACGAGACGTTCCAGACGTCGAATTCGTTGAACTCGAACCTCAAATCCGTCGCCGTAGGACCTTCTCTTTCGCCGGAGAAGTAGAGGTAGTTTCCTCTACCTAAGTAGCTCCTCGATGCCGCCATTAAAATCAAATGAACTTTCTCTCTGAAAAATTAGGTTAGATTTAGCTCTGTGTTTGAAAGTCCTATCAAATTGATCACTTTTGTTTGTATTTATAGACTATATCTCTCTCTGCAAATGATTTCTTTTATTTATTTAAAATTCCATGCAACTTCGTTGCAGTTTAAATATATATTTTCACGCGGAAAATCAATATATATTATAATTTCACATATTTAGATTATATATTTTTATGATTTTTATAAAATAACAAGATATTATTATATATAATCATGTAAATACAGACAAATAAACGAAAAATATGCAATATTTGTAGTGAACCAAATACAAATACATTAAGATTAATAAATTGACTTTAACTCGATATAATACATAAACATTGTTGTCTTTATTAATTAATAGTTTATAGTTTATATATGTATATTTGTATACAGTTGAAGCATTTAATAATTTGTTCAAAATTATTTGTAAGACAAGTTGTTTTTTGTTTGCACATATATCAATTATTAAGCTACAACGACATAATTAGAAATTTGAAAAAATAAATTAAATCTATTACCAAATTCAAATATATCTGTGAATGATTATGAGGTGGGCCAGTTGTATGTGTCTCGCATCTTATATCTATCTTCATTATTTTAGTTCCTAACCCATTTTAACTTAATTAGTTATTAACACATGTTTCTACAAACGAACTACTGATTCTTAAATAATATTTAATAATTCCAAAAAAAAAAAAACAACATAATGAATATTCGTTTCGACGTTCAAATTTGTGATTGTTTTAGAGGCGACTGCTAATAGATCATGCAAATGTTATTCATGGAGCTTGAACAAATATTTTATGAGAAAATATATAAAAGTTATTATAATTAAAACACATTTATGATGTAACAAATGTTTTTAATAAACCACGCAACTTTGACTTATCTCAATTCAACCATTTTATCTCCTACAACAAGTGTTTTTTATAAGTTGTTCCAAAGAAAGACAAAAATATATGAAATTTTATATAATTTATCCAAAATCACCTCATAAAAAGCCACGGGGACGTGTTTGGTATAAGAGTTTTTAAAAGTATTTAGATGTTAGTTTTTAACTAGTTTTAAACATTTAAAAGTTAATTATTACTTCTAACAAATATTTCTACATAAATAAAAACTATAATTCTCAACTTTGAGTTACCAACTAATAGCTTTCAGCAAAAAAAACAAAACTATTTGTGTCAAACACGTCTCTAATATAACATATAACACGTAGAAAGGTAGAATTGAAAAAATAACTAGTGCATGATTTTCTTAAAAATAGACAACTCAAAAAAAATCCAATGGCTTTTACGTAATTTACCATTATTTTTCCCTTATGTAAACTCATAAAAAAAAATCAAGTAAACAATTGTGGGAAATTTAAATTTAAGAATAAAATGTGCTTTTTTTTTTCACATTTCATGTTTATATAATAAGAAACGAAATAAGACAAAAGAACCGTACATCCTTGTATTTTTCTTGATTTTAACCAAGAGAGAAGGGGGGGAATTTCAGAGTTTTGTCGTGATGCGGGGGATAAATGCACGATAAATGATAAATCTTGGGATGTTCAGCTGGTGCGTGGAACACTGTAAGCTCCCTAGTCACTACTGCTGATGGTGACATGATCATGACACGTGTATAGTCACTCATCAAAACTTGTGGTGGAGCCGATAGGATGCATTTGGAAGAGCCACGTGAAGTGGAGCCTGTGGGGTGTTGTGTAGTGTAGCGCGTTTTGTCCATGACAGCTCACGTAACTATGGTCCCCTATTTTTTGGCGCTGTCTATGTAAAACGCGACACATGTACAAAAATTTACTGAGGTCATGTATGTTGGATGTATCCTAAGTTAGATTTCATCTGTTTTTTATTATTTTTAAGAGAAAGTAAATGTAACCACTATCATTTATTTTGTTGTAAAATAGTAGTTACTTTGTGATAAATGAGTAATCAATCATACACTTTACATGTGAAATCCACTATTTTTGTAAATTACCTTTTGTATTACCTCCACCAAAATATATTAAAACACAATTATTTTTATCGTACGATTCTTTTTCTATATACTATGAAATTGTTATATATATATATATATATATATATATTTTGCCAGTTTGATCGATTTTTGAAGATTTTTTTTGTTATGAGGATTTTAAATATTATTTTCACAGAAAAAAGAGTTTTATAGTGTAAAAATCAACTAGTATTTTGAGATATTGTGAAATTGTGAATAGATTTTCCTGAAAACCGGCATTAGCCGGGAACAAGGTTTTTTTTGCATGTATTTACCGGTTTTTTGGGCTAAATTGCAAAAAATAAAATAAAAAAAATAAATAAAAATAAATCAAAGATGACTTTTGCGTCAATAGAACCAAACTTCAGGTACTTTACTGCAGATTTCTCATTATATTTTATTTTTTCTCATTTTTTGTTTATTTGATCTTAATTATAATAAAATAGGTTATCAATCCATATATATACTTTCAAATTGTTCTAAAATATCATATCTATCTATATTTCTTGAAAAATTCCGTATATTTCTTGAAAAATTCCGTAAAGAGTCTTTTAGACGTTCAGATTCTGTGCGTAAACAAAACAAAAGAAAACCAATTGTACTGATAAATTTTGGAGTGTTGTTAGTGTTCATGTATAATAAATAACCTTAATTAATCTTGAATACAAATCTTTGATGTTGATTAGACACAGCAGGTGACCCTTCACACTTAAAGTTTTAAACCACTCCAAAAACACAATCATTTTTTAATTCAATTAAATAACTTACACTTAAGAAAGATATCGGGTGGTCTATATCACTTTGCAAATTGCTTTCGGTTTCAATTGGTTTACGCAAGGTTTGTTAGCTTGGACGGTTGTAATAGTTTTAAATGTTCCTTTCTCCCATTAATCCCCCAAAGAGTTTAAACACACAAACAAAATTGTTTAAAAGGAAAGTATATATAAGACTCAAATAGTTAAATAGACTAGTTAATGGTAATCTAAATCTTAATATTAATATAATTAATAGTCTAGTATCTCGCGATGCGGATGTATGCTGAAATTGCTATGGAATTCGTCAAATAAAATATGCAGTAGAAGTGTAGAACCTTAGTGAACACACCGACAATTTGATATTGAAACGGCATACGGAGGACATGAACTTCACACTTGGCAATTTTTTCCGAACAAAAATAATATCCATACCATATCAATGTTTTGGTGTGCTTGTGTTGAACTGGATTGTACGATAAGTAAACGGCACCAATATTGTCTCAAAAAACCATAGTTGCTTTGGTGATGGGGCATCGCTGGCGACCCCACATATTTAGCTTCCTTATGTGACCTTGATAATGTAGGTTGTCGTTTTGAGTAGCACGAAACAATATTGCTATCAAGATAGACACAATATCCAAATGTAGATCTTCGTGTATTTAGGCCTCCTCCTCGATATGCGTTTGTATATATCCAACTAACGTAGATGCAAATAGTTTTGATAAATAAAGCTCATAAGAGAGTGTGCCATGTACATACTGAATAATCTGTTTAAGCGCCTTCATGTGATAAGTGTAAGGGTTATGCATGTAAGCGAACTTGGTGAACCACATATGAAATATCGAGTCTTGTAAATAGGAGATATTGAACGGGCACCATAAAGACTTCTATAATTTGGCAGACCGAGATATAATTCGTCGAATGCACTACTTCACATTTTATTTGTGTCAATGGATGTGTGAGACAGTTTGCAAGAAATTGTACTTGTGTGTTCAATAATATCGTTGGCATACTAAGTTTGATGTAAGAACAAGCTTGTGGAATGTCGGTTTACGATGACATCTAAGAAGTAACCAAGTGGTCTAAGATCTTTAATGGCGAGTTCACTTGCAAAAAGTGCCATGAGTGAAGATAATAATTGTTAGGTAGATATGGTGGGTATAATGTTGTCCATGTATACGTAAAAGACAAGTCATGCCGGTTCTGTAATGATAAATGATAAGTGAGTGATCACTTTGATTGTGAATGAAACCATTTTTTGTGGCAGCCTGCAAAACATTTACATTATGCTCATAAATGCAGGTTTTATCTAATAAACTTACTTTTGAAGTAAATAAACATCATTTGGTTGTGTGTTGTCTCGAAATCCTAAAGGTTGGTGCATATACATGGTTTCGTTTAAGTTTTCGTGAAAAAAAACATTTTAACGTCCAGTTCTGGATTAGCTAAGACTTGGAAAGTGCTAGGGACTAGACAGTTCATATTGTGGTTGGTTTAACCACCAAACTAAATGTTTCCATAAAATATACCCCTATTTGTTGGGATTGTTCATTGCCTACAAGCAGTGCCTTACAACATGAAAAGGTGTAACGTCCGCAGATCCGGGTAGTCAATTTAGAGACAATGAGCGTCAACAAAATGAGTTTTTAATGGAAGATTATTTAGAAGGATTAATCTTAACCAAGTTTTAGTATATGTTACAAGGATTCTGTACATATAAATAACGCTGAAATCCGAGTTATAACGAAGAAGTTATGGCTCGTCGAAGTTTTACGGCAAAACCGGCACGGCACCGGGAGACGTAAATAGTGAATTTTTGATAAAAGACTTTTTAGCCTTAGTGATCTAAACAAAAGTTGTAGTATACTTTAAACCGAGAGCGTCCATAAAAAGAACGCCCAAATCTGACTTTGTATGAGGAAGTTATGAATTTTCGAAGATTTGGCATAGCAGTGCACGGCCCGAAACTCGAATTTTAGTTCGAGCGGTTTTTGGCCTACGCGACCTAAATGAGAGTTTAAGATCTCATTAATAGGAACTCAACGATAAAAAGACAGACGAAAACGGAGTCCGTATGTAGAAGTTATGAATTTTACACGGACATTTAACAGTATAATCTCCTCCTACTGTTAAATTAAAGATCGGTCAAGAATTATCAGACGGAGTCTAAATTGAAGTTATAGATCTTGTTTTTACCTACGTGTG